TCGGCTCTAGGTCGGTGGTCGTCTAACTCGACCAGTTGGGGTGAGAGAGAGAGAGGGAGAGAGACAGACAGAGGTGCGCAGCAACAGCAGTAGCAACAACTATACTAATAGAAATGACTGATGACGATGATGATGATGATGAAGGTGTAGAAGAATCAGAATCAGAATCAGAAGATGACGACAACAACAGCCAATATGGGGGGTGATGAACAATAATAATAGTAATAATAATAAGATTATTGTTAAATTAAATTAAAGATGATCACTTATACAAAGTATCAGTAAGTTCAGAGGGGCAGTGTACTTCCTGCAGCTTCTGTTACAGTCACCATCGTGTGGACTATTTCAGTGCATTTACTTACAAAGGTGAACAGACAGTTTCAGTAGAACTACTTAGAAGAAAACCTATTGGAATTGAGTATTCACCCAGGCCATGGTCTAAGTTATGTTGTAGACTATAAGTTAAATTCAGACAGTTTTGCACTGTATGGAAATAACCCATGACAGTAGCTCTGTCTGTCCTCTCGCTGCATCATCAGTCTGCTCACACACACCCACACACACATTCACCATTAAAAAAAAAAAATTTGATAATGCAGTCGAAGATAAGTGAGAAAGAAAAAGATTACTGTGTAACCTGGTTAATGCATGTAAACATACTGAATGTGAAACTGTATTTAACTATCTCACAAATAAAGAGTCACATAAATGTGTTTTTACTTCCTGTAAATTTAGGCAAAAGGCTTAAATCTAAAGTAATGAATACAATAGCTGACTCAAACCTGATCTACATTTTATGATATACTGAGTTTTGATGAGATTTCTGATCATAAAGTCAGTGTTTGATGGTTGTCCCAGGTGGAACAGCGTCCCAGCAGAGAGGCTTCTTGGGCTGCATTAGGACATTGACTTTCAACGGTGTGACCTTTGACCTGGAAGAGAGGGCCAAGATGGTGCCGGGGGTGAGCTCTGGTTGTCCAGGTTACTGCAGCAGCTCCAGCAGCCTTTGTCACAACAAGGGGAAGTGTATTGAGAAAAGCAGTGGCTACACCTGCGACTGCTCGCAGTCAGCCTTTGGAGGACCCACCTGTAAAGAGGGTGAGACTGACTCATCATTTCATTTTGATTATACAATGCAAACAACTACAATATAAATATATTCAAATAAAATCCATGACGCTACTCTTGAAGAACATGCTTTTACCTTCAAGCAAAATGACTGACCTGTTTTCACCTGTGAAAGTGTTTTCAGGTATCATTATACCTCAGTGTGTCAACACTTACCACAGTCACTTTTTTGCATTATTTAATACATTAATTGCACTATTAGTACTGTAGAGTTCACATACATATTTAGATATATGTATATAGATTATATTTTCCATTTAGTAACTGCTGTATATATAATTTTTTTTATTATTACTTTTTATATGCCACTACCTCCTGTTGTAACCTGTGCAATTTTCTAAACTCTTATTTTAATTTTTTTTATTTTATCTTGTGTTTTTTTTATTTTATTTAATGTGTACTTTTCTTATCTGTTGTGTTGTATCTGGAGCTGCTGTAGCAAGTGAATTTCCCCAGTGTGGGATCAATAAAGTCTACCTCATCAATCTTAAATAGAAATAGGTTGTTTAGCATATTGCAGATTCATGAAACAAGTGTTTCCAGGTAACAGGTCACTGCATAAACATATTATTTTTACAGTATTACCTTGCAACAAAAGGGAATGTTTGGAACATAAGTGAGGATGAATTTTTGCATTATAATATGGTAATTACCAATTTTGACTTCAATGTTTCATGTGATTTTGAAGGTATTTTGCTCATAGAAGCCTATAATATTATGAAAACATTAACCTGTATTGCCTCATTGTTATCAGGTTATCATTCCATTAATGTGTCTCAGCTTTCCAGTCATTCCCAGTTTATACAATTCCAATACTGTTTATTGACGTCCATATGCACAAATGTTGAAATACGCTAGGCGAAAATAACAGATTTATACCACATGGAAATGCCTGGTTTTTGCCCCAAAACTGCATAAAGGGATTAGCATAAAGTGGGCATGCAAAGGGGAGACCAATAGTACCCAATTTCATTCAGATATCTTGAGGTCAGAGGTCTAGGAATCACTCTATTTATGAAATGTCAGAACCCAATTGTGCTTATTCGGTATACATTTTCAGCAGTAGGAGGCCAAGTTTCAGCAGCTCAGTTTGGCTTAGTATGAGTCTGCAGTCACAGTGAGCCATTTTTATTCTGAAAGTATTGCTGCATTAACATGACAATCATTCTCAGGTGACAATCTGAATAAAGGTTAGGAAAAGTGTACTCGGCTGGCTTAGTCAAAGGATGATACTGGGGCTCAACATTGTCATATTTTTATTGCTTACTTTCTTCTCTGAAGATTGCTTTAAGGAGTCAGATAAAGCAGACAGTACGAGAAAATTGTTTAATGTGACAAGTTATCATAAGTTCACTCATCGTACGTGTATTTCCAATTCAAATTCATTTTTTTGGTAAGCGCCATTCGCATAACAGGAAGTAATCTCAGACACTTTCAAAGTAGAGCAGGTCTTGACCGAACTCCTTATAACATTATTTACAGAGACCCAACAGTTCCCACCATTCAAACCAATCTGTTGGTACAAGTGGTTCTTGTGTGAGGCTATTTGACTGTTGATCCATCCATCCAACTGTCAGATGGAACTACTGACCAGATAACCATGAGTTTTGACCTTTCCTTTAAGTTCTATGCACAACAACAATTACAGTGAAGTAGTTGTCTGCAGTGAAATCCTTGCTCTCAGGTTCCTTCCAGCAGTGCTCATACAAAATGTACAATAAAAGTCACACACACACAAACCCAAACCCGAGTAATATGAGAGTGAAGTGAAGACGTTAAAATATAGGAATAAAATAGAATATATATAAATCAATCCAAGTTAACAAAAGAATCATGCACCTTGCATCCATATGGTCACAGACAGAGGCATGTGTTTTCATTCCCTAATACATCACGCACTCAACTCGAATATCCAAAACAATAAAAATACGAATTCTTCTTTCCAAATTTACAATGCTTTTTTCTTTTATCATTAATGCTCATTCCCTTCGTCTCTACTTTTGGCAATAAGCGAAAATTCTCAGCGAAATACTATTAGTAACCCTCCGATACTTTAATACAAATAGTATATCTGCAGTCTATTTTTGTGCATTCATACCATGCATTGAACACTGCAAACCATCGGCTGTGTCATTATGTAAATATGCATTTATATCCTGAGATACTCAGCAATTCATTCTGAATTTTTTGGTGCTTCTCTTGTATTCAGAACTTAAAATAACATAAAACAAAACCAGCTTATCGTCCCATACATTCTCTTCCTCAGTGTATTCCTTTTTACTTTTGACATAAGCTTGGTATTTGTTTTTTATACGAAATAAGTGCTGTGTGTGTCGTTAGAGCTGCCGATCTGCACCATCACACGATCCATGTCATCATTTCCTGAAGACAAGCTCCATGATTCCTCTTCGTATGCACATCAACTCGAATATGATTGTAGACATCTCAAATTGTGCAATATAAATGACATTTATTTCTATTCATATTATGTTGATCGAGTGCCGCTATTATACTACTATAATAGCCACATGCCTTCAAGAGCAGCTTGTTTGTTCGAAGCTGCATTGGAGGACTCGAATAGGGGCAGTGTCACCACTCCTCTGCTGCACGTGAGTGGTTAGTAGGAGAAGAAGAGTGGAGGCGATGAAGGAACGCTGAAGAACGCAACATAAATTGCGGATAAGCCCCTGAGCACTCCTGCAAGTTCCTTCTAAAAGCGATCAAGAATAGTATAAGCACATCACAGTTAATTGAGGATGCGTTAACAAAAATAGACTCAACCAATGAACCAGCCGCTAGGAGACATAAATAGACTATTGCTTAGTGCAAATGTAGAGCGGCTCTCGTTGAGATTAAAAATGCTACGTACCTATTTCATCTACTAAGAGCAGATGTGGGAGCGCGACTGTCAGGGCAACATCCGAACCACAAACTAGAAGACTTGAGTTCCACAGGAGGGGTCAGCTAGGTACTACTGGCTCTTTAAGGATATGAACGGGCGGCCTTGACTATGAACGAACTTTTGTACGGTGAGGAGGAGGATTTTAAATTAAATTTTTAATAGTACTGATGGTCCAAGCCTGGCTGTCACACCATCAGCCTTATTATTTTCAA